CTGTGTGTGTATGTGTGTGCGCGCGCGCGCGCGTGTGTGTGTGCGTGCGCGCGTGCGTGCGTGTATAATGTAGATTGATGTTGTTAAATAAGTAGAGAAACTTATAATAGATACATATATGTATAAATCAAAATTGCAAATATGTATATCATAAAAAAATTCAATAAAAAAATGTATTGTGCAATATCAATTACGTAACCTCTAAAGCGTTAATAAAAAAAAAAGGAGAAAACTAAGGTTGTCAAAAAACTTGGTATATCTCAAATTTTTTTATATTTTACTAACACAGATTATGTTACAAGATTGGAAAAATTGAAACTCACTGTAGTATTTGACGAATCAGTTTTTAATTCGATTTATTTATAAAAAATTATATTTAACATAAATACGAAAGTAATTTTACGAGCTAGCGCCATCGATACAACGAAAAAAGGAAATATAGATACATGAACGCAATTAACGCTCAATTAACAATTGCTCTTTCTCACACTCATTCTCTCTATCTCTCTCTCTCACACTCATACACACACACACACACACACACATTCTCTCTCTCTCTCTCTCTTCTTCCCTCCTTATTTAACAACATCAAGCAACATCTCTTTTACTTCAGCCATTTATTTTTCATTTCGTTATTATTTATGTACAACCAGTTTAAATGTTTGCTATCGTTAATCGTAGTAAGTTTGCTAAAATTTGTGTTCTATTGGAGATGATGTGCGTTCGTGGGAACTTATATAAAAAATTACTTTTTGATACAGAGCTGAGTGATTTTGGTGTTACTTAGAAATATGGGTGGTGTATGTTTATATCCTAACTTATGCTGAGATCCTAATTGATTATATAATCTATATGTCGGCTTTCTTATAAATCTTATCACATACATAGACGTTTGTATTATTAGTACTTAATATTTTATACATAGATATTCTGTATTCCGAATGCTGCCAATTTTACCTTGTATATACAATTACAAGCTACATATTATACAATCTTAATATCTATTACGTGCACTCTTCTCTTTCACACTTTCATTCTCCCGCCTAATTATCCCTTTCTTTCTATCATGTACTTATATCTTTTTTTTTTGTTTCTATTTTGGTTATCACACATTGTCACGCAACAATATGCTCACTTGTGCTGACCGCACACATGAGAAATATGTAATAACAAAAAAGAAACAAAAATATTCACTTTTTATAGGACATTATATCGAAATAATAGTAAACTAGTAATACAAACTATCAGCAGAAACATTTTGCAATTTTGCAATCGTTAAATTGAATGCATTCGTATTATTAGCATTTACTCAATAAAAAAATTATGAATATAATTTTTGAAGATATTCCAATAGCTTCTGCCAATAATTTACATTATTATTTTACTATCCTAAACATTATCGTGAGTTATAATGTCCAAATTAAACCGTTATAATAATTCGAACGGAAAATCTTTTTACATATATATAAACAACCGAAGTTTATGAAATGAAACAAAACATAAATCTATTCGAATCTAAATCATTTCTGATAGTAAAAATTTCTTTTTTAGTTTTTTTGCAAACTAAGCATGATACTAAGATACTTTGTATATCATATGAAAAAAAAACACATACTTATCAATTTTTATACATCGCTAAATTGTTAATCTCGCACCGAACTACCTTATTAAGTATGTATACATCAACAATAACATACTGATGACTAAATCATTGTACATACTAAACCGCGCGAATATTACTATCGCAGCGTGTAGATAGTATATTTTAAGAATTAGATCATAGATCCTTCTTAATTTTGATTAGATAAAAACTGCAAACAGGCGTTCGTATTGCGCCCGAAGACACATCAAAACAAAAAATTACAGAAATATTCTAATATTGCTAGATGTTGATGATCAACGATCAATGAGAGCAAATCGTTATTGATATGAAACAAACAACACCCAAGAATAAATAGCATGTACCTGCCCAAAGATCGTTTTTATTTTTCTGAGACGAGCTCCCCTTTATCTCCAATATACAAAATAATGAAAATAGGATTGTGAAGGGTGGCATGAACATTCGAAATTGGCATTTCCATCAATAGTATAATATTCTAGTATTCTTTTCAATTCTTCATCATGTTATTTCAATTTTTCACTTGATCTGTAATAGAGAGCTCGAGGAATGACATTTATCAAAGAAAAAATTCTGAATTTATAAAAAAAAATCTTTTCCTATCACACTCTTCTCCCCGTTCAATTAAATCCCGGCCATTAAATCATCATAGTTTTTTTATAGTATAAAAATCATGATTTTGCTTAAAACCTCGAAGTTTTTAATTAATTGTGCCAACATAACGATTGCTCATTGCCGATAAGTATCGCCATATGTACAACAAAGACTATACAAGTTTATGGTTTCCTAAAAAAATAAAATTGTAGTTACACAAATAATTTATATATAATAATAGTACTATTTTTATCTTATACTTTGTATATTATTAATGCCGTTACAGTCGTAACGTGTAATCTAAATACTTTTAAGAAAATAATTAATAATAACATACACAATAAAAATTTGTTTGAATCACTTTTTGTACTTTTCTGGCGAATTAAATTTAAAAAATTGTTTTAGTTAGAATTTACTCGATTCGCGTACCTTGTTCGGGCGACTCTATTAACTGAGCCATACCCAAAATGTTCAACGAATATTTCGTTTCATACTCGTTCATGATACGTCGAGTAGGTTTTAAAACAGAATTACACGAAAAAATTTACCCGAAATTTCCCCAAAAAATTTTTATATTTTAATAACTTTTCTATATCGTGAAATATCATATCCTAGCAATCGAATAAATATAATTCTTTTCTAACATGTTCTTCCCTAATACGTACATCACGATTTTCTTTCCCATGAGCCTAAAGTATACCGAGATTTAGGTACATAGTCTGATCTAATAGTTGGTAGGATCAAAACTACTTCAATTCTAGAATCATCTTATCGTTACTCGTAATAATTGACGACATTGTTCTAAAGTGAGTTAATGAATAACTTTGAATCGACCAGCTGGCTCGTAATAATTCTTGAATCAATCGCAATCAATAGTATACACTGTTAATATTCTGATCGATCAGTTGATCAATTGAAGTCACAAATGGACAGCCGTGATGATCATTATTAAATTCACCAAGTTCTTAGAGATGTTCGTATTATTTTACATGTTTCTATCATTCACATATACGCCTAGCTATATATATTTCTGTGTTTACAGAGCGTATATGAATAATCAAGAAAGAAATTTGCAAGGGCATTATTAATGATAGTTAATAATTACATATATTATTGGCAGAAACGCTTGTATACGTAATCCTACCAACGATTAATGACTCAATGTGGAAAAATACAAAACTTAACTAAATGTACACGATTTTTTTACTTTTCTTCAAGCCGACATTCGTATCTACGCACGCATTCGGTTATCACATGCAAACGTCTCTTATTTTCATATGTTGTTTTCAAATTTACATAAAGTACAAACTTATGAAAACCGGAAAAATGTAACACAATATCAGTGTAGCATTTTCGAAGTATCATATAAGTATTTATCTAATTACATAGTCGCACTTAAGTGTCTGTCGTTTTAGAGACAATACAGTTTGTCCCAGTTTTAATAAACTGTTTGAATCTTCTGACGACCAAATGGGTTCTCTGTTGAAATGTTCCAACCGTATCACTCAACTATATTATTTTATAACTAGCACACGGTCTATGTCGCCATCGTTACTATTTATCTGATTTTATTATCTCCGTTGTTTTTGTTTATATTGTGTGATTGACGTTGCATTTAAAGATTTCTATAACATCGCTCAATGCTAAACATACGTCCGAG